AAATAAACCACCCTGAAACCTGAATCCAGACAACACCACCCCAAGACGCGATGATAGTGCACTCATGAGAAAGACGGCCTGCATCGGGAGCTTCCTGCACATAGCAGAACCACAGGGTTGAGCATTCGCGCTCTGACTAGCTTTGGCTGCTGTGCCTTTGAATATTCAGTATTGACAAGTATCTAGAATGCAAACGCGGTGCACAGTATGCCACAGGTATGCCGTGATGAGTGAGTTCTATGTCGACCTCGTGAACTTCAGCAGGTTAGGACGCCAGGGACGCTACAATTCTGAATCTGTTCGCATTTCGAAGCTCTACCTTAGATTCAGACGCGAATAATTTGTTGGGAACGTTTCCTCTGGCATCTTGGGACATTTACTACGCTGCCTAGCGCGTTACTGCAAGGTGGAACAAGTGATGTTGTGCATGGCCAGACTTGCCCCAGAAACAAGGACGCTAACCAAACACTCGATGCAGGCAGAGGCAGCACTGGGACACGATACTGTGCAGGCAGGCGCAGCAGGTGGCCAGCAGTTGCAATACAACTGTTGGGTACGGTAGCCCAAACAATAGGCCGGAACCGGTTGCACTGGGATCAAACCAGCCATTCCTGAACTGAGCCGCCCCGGCTGCAGTCAGAAATTTCAGGCCACCGAAAAGATGCCACCTTGGGGCCAACATCATCAACGTCAGAACGCGTTCATTATTACTCTTGAACGTGTTCCAGTGCCCTGCCACCTCTCCCGCAGGCCCGTTCAGGGGGTTCGACGGGACACCCAGAATCCTGGTGCCAGTATACGCAGCAGCAAAATCCCACCAGATTCTATCGGTAGCCCAAAACTGATCAGCAAGAGTGGATTCCAAAATGAAAGCTCTGCAAAGCTTTCGAAATCAGCGTGGCCTATCAACTCCTCCAAATCTGAAAGATCTTAGCATGCCTCCAGGCAGCATTACTGTTCTACTGCAACGTACATCCCCCGATTATCAAGCGAAACATCCCTACAAACTCTAAAGACTCTGAAGTTTACTCTGTAGCCGCGAAGATTCCTCCGCATTCGCACGGAGAAAGCTGCACCTGCAGCTGCACGCGTTCTTTTGAGGCTTGCAAATGTTGGCTGGGGGGATTGGGTTTACAGAGGTAGGGGATTCCGTGCGAATTCTGCAAAGATAGGTTCATGTGAGCACTACGAAAAACATGTGCCTACATGCCAGAACATTGTTCGCTCATTTCTGAGTCAGCTGATGGAAGCAAACTGTTTTTGGCATGACTTGGGATCCCCAAGGTTCTGCCAGAGTACAACATTTGGCGCAGAATTTCCTTCGTCCAACAAACGTACTGTACCCATCAAGCCCTAATGACCGTACAATTAACGATGAGTCAAAAGGCAGGCGCCCACTGGCAAGAGTACTTACAAAGTCCCCAAGTACACCTACCTTCGTGAGATTTCAGTAATAACTCGACTCAACGCTACCAAGTATGGTATGAGTCGATGCCTCAGAATGCAGTCTTCCACGCCCACCCGAGCCTTTCCTATCCCTTCACGGACCCAGTTCCTGAGAAGGTTCAGCAAAAAACTGTGTGTAGGTTGAGGATTCAAACTAAATGGCTTACGTGTCGAGAGTTGGCAGGATCCAACAAACCTTGTCCCTAGTCTACCTTCTGTATCCATCTCAACCCTCAAGCTCACGCCCCCAAGCCCTGGACCCTACTACCCTGACCCTGAAACACCTAAATACCCACATCCCCAGAACCTGAGTCTCCTGGGGCTGCAGCTGTCCGTCCAGGCTCGAACACTGGTTGGCGACATCTTCGACCGCAGCCTTGAGAAGTCTTTTCGAGTCGGTTTGAAAAAATGTCGTAAGCTGTAGGTAGAACCGTGGAAGGGAAGGACGTGCAAGGGATCAGGGTGGGGTATATATATGTATAGATTTTGATGTAGACGCACATAGAACCGTTTCTTTCTTTCTTTCGTGCGGGCTCTGGAGTGGCCAAGGGGCCACTCCGGCCCCATAGAACTCTCTCCCTCTGTCTCTTTTTCACTTTATGCTTGAGAGGCAGACTACAGCATGCTGTGTCATTAGTGAGATTGTGGGGGCAGAATTCTAGCATACAGCCTCCAGCCAAAGACTTCATGGACAAGTTCGCTTTCAGAGACGAACAAAGAGTTAAGAAGCTGGCCACATGAAAAGCAAACCGCTACAGTAGTCACTACATTCACTACAGACTCCGCAACACAAGCTGACATGATTTGTGCAGAACTCACAGCACGTTCTGCATTTTTGATAGAATCCTTGACTGAGCTCCGCCCAATGCAAGATTTGTGGATCCAGTTCGAACAACCCAATGTGATACTGAAAGAGGTACCATAAAAGAAAGACTGCGAATTCTGCTTCAGCCCACAAGAAGGGAATGGCCCTCAGAAACCTGCAGAGTTTGCACAGATGTAGCCCTCGGCAAACCCTTGACAACCTAAAGTTGCACCAGCACTTGTCTTAAGCCTGGGATATACGTCTCCCACCCCAAGAAGAACAGAAACCAGCTGTGAGAATCCGGGGAAGTGCAATAGAACCCAAAAGCCTTGCAAGGATAAGCCCTAGCCTAGCAAACCGAGCGAAAGAAAAAATAGCCTCCGGTACATATATATCTTCTTGAAAGCGACGAACACCTGCATGAAGGGTAGAAGGGTTAAGTATAAGAGGCAAGCAGGCTTCTGCGGGTTGCTGTGGGCTGCAACGGCGACTAGGATTTGAACCCGGTTCAGTATGAAGCCTATATTTGATTCGGGACACATAATGTCGCAAGGATGCAACATGAAATCATTTATGTACTCCACAACTTTCTGACAACTGTAGAACGAGTTGAGCTAAGCTTAATGTTGCTCCCATCTTGCTACCATAGAATGAGCAGCAGCAAAACTGCAATTGCTACCATCATAAAGCTTTTCATAGACGGTCTCCAAGAAACGGTTGCACACCCCTGTAGGAGCCTCACGAGATGTGTTTTCTTAAGGTCGACTTTTGAGAGGATACCTGTGAGTACTTTGCTTTGAAGCTTTCGTGAATTTGACGCGCAGGGTTGTGATCTGGACTGAAACGGAGCAGAGTTTGAAGGAGCAATGACGCTAAGTCGGCTTATTCCAAAACAACTCTCTCACTGATGCACTCTGCCACTTGGCCGCTAGTCTGCGCTGCTGTGCAGGGAAAGCTTCGCATTGGGAAGGCAAACTCTTCGATCCCAAACCTACATTCATGCCAAACCTGGACGCCTGGCAGCAGGTGGTCAGTGATGTTAAGTGAGAAATTCCAGGCAAGTCGATCAGCAAGCCAAGCACGGCAAGAGCAAATGTTGGCATGAAGGCTTCCACAACTTTCTGACAACTGTAGAACGAGTTGAGCTAAGCTTAATGTTGCTCCCATCTTGCTACCATAGAATGAGCAGCAGCAAAACTGCAATTGCTATCATCATAAAGCTTTTCATAGACGGTCTCCAAGAAACGGTTGCACACCCCTATAGGAGCCTCACGAGATGTGTTTTCTTAAGTTCGACTTTGGAGAGGATAGCTGTGAGTCCTCGGGTTGAGACCCAATGAAAACCCACTTACAAAATGACTACAACCCTTTTCCTGGGAGAGGGCCCTCTGCTTTCATTTTGCAAACTTCCACATGGAGGTCGGGTCATCCGTCCACCAAACATCAAGAAGACATGGACATCAAGAACGGTGAATGTCCAAGGGAGTGCTTCAAATAAGTATATTCAGGACCCAGATTTTCAAACGTCGCAATACCACCTCGAAAGGTCGGGTCTTCTTGAAACGGCGTCAGGGCAGCCTGCGCAAAAAAGCAGCTCTGCGGTTCGCTTTGCATAGGGGACCCCCCCCATGCTTGAGAAATACGATGCTTAAGTGAACATCTGAGGATTCCAGTGGTGTGTTGCCAGGCGGTGAAGGGCTGTCGAAGGTGTGCTTTTGAAGTAATAGGCAACATGAGAACCCTTGACAACTACCCGAAAATTCCAGCGCATGTACAGGGACCTCTGCAGTGCTCGTGCAACGTCAGAATTTGAACCCCAACATGGGCCATAGTCTAAACTCCTAGTATCCCCCTAAATAACCCCTATAGTAGTCCCCTATATGATCCCTATATAACCCGCCTTTAAGGAGTTTAGACTATGGCTCACATGGGCCTGTAAGTTGGCGGCTTTGGGGGCAAGGACCGCGGGGGACTTCCACGCAGAGAAGTTAACTGCATGAAATTTTGGCAGCGCCGTGATCTCCGTTGGGTGCTCAGCCCTTGTAGTATCCAGCTTACTGCTGCAGCACTGCATGCTGAGGGTGCTTCATGTCATCCTAGACAAAGACAGAGAGACAAGGAGTCCTTGTCTCTTCAATCACTCCAGGACCTGTACATTCTTCTTGATCCAGGCCCTGAGCATCCTGCCTCTCATTGCCATCCTCAAGTAGAGATCAAGCACAGAAACACAGAAACGAGATCTGATCCGAGACTTGACGAGTGCACGGCCCCCAGTTGCCTCGACCAGGGCGAAGGCTACGATGTGCCACCTCACCAGCAGCGAACACAGCTGTGGGCAGTCAACGATCTGTCACCAGTTGAGGGCATCACACCATAGCTCCTGGTACTTTGGGATCCATTACAGGATAAGTCATAAGAGCAACAAAACAATCGACCACTCTTAATGCAGAAACAGAAAGGCTGCGTGTTGCGGGGTACCTGTGGCACATGGCCACCAACGGCACGAGGTGCCACCAACATGGCAAAGCTGGGTGAAGCTTGAACCTAAAGATCAACAGCAGAAAGCAATTTCTCCAGCCGCAAGATCAGAGGTAGTCAAGGCTTTGCAGGGCTTACATGTATCATGACAATGCATGAGCCAGTTTCTGGAAGGATCCAAAGGATTGCCCCGCATGAGAGGCACGCGGCCGGTACCAACACTTGCGTCCCGATCACTAATGACTGCCAGACGGACATTTTCAGCTTTGCATCATTGGCAGGCCTGTGGCTTTGAGAGCATTTTGGATTTTCCTGCCCAAACCAAACACACCGTTTTGTACACGGTGCAGGTTCCTAGAAAGCACACAAGCATCTGCACTGCCGCGTATGTGTTGCGACCCCCAAAATCTATCATGAAGCGTGCGACAACGGGTCCGATAAAACGGCTCACGTTGACGCCGACCAAATTGTTAATGCGATACGTCTCGATGCCCCAGGCTGTTCCCTGCATTGCAGCACGAGTTGCTAGTCCTTGCGCAACACCGTTGGAGACGCTGGAGGCCCCATAGATTATGGCATCTGCGAACAGCAATGTGCCAGCCCCGAAGAATTTCCAATCAAACAGCAACAGCACACCGAGCAAGGTTGCTGCAGTCGAGCCAAGGAAAACGTGGGATTCTGGCATCCACTTTCTGGAGATCACTAAGCTGGAGAATGCCGTCAAAGTCAGGCTGGCACCTCCCACTACCATGAAAGAGGCTCCGCAAAGCTCGGCCGACCAGCCGTATGAAACTTCTAGCAGCATCATCGTGGCCACCTCAATGGCCGAGATTGTGAAAGGTCGCTCGTAACTGTATGCGATCATGTATTTCACAATGTCTTCGCGAGACTCTGCTGGCAATTGCTCTGGTGCAATCTCCAGGCAATCTCCTTCTGCTTCGGGACTTGCCTCCTCAGCCGCACCCTCATCAGACTGACCCAAAATCGTAGGATAGAAGAGCGATGCCCCTGTCAGCTCCGCAGCTTGCAAAACCACCAAGCCAATCATGGACCAGCTCATCATGCTGATGGGTGACACCTCTCGACCTTGACGAACTAGCAAGCTTAACCCAGCGAATGCAACAGGGCCAAGAACAAAGCCCCCGTTTCGGCCTGACCGCAAGCAGGAAGAATCTAATTCCTTCATGGGATTCCGCTGCGTGGGGACTGTTACATAAGCCTTTCACGACAAGAGTCTAGCGCAGCCCGGAGGAGGTAGATGCATCGTTCCCACAACACATCAACACAACCAATAATCCTGAGAAGTCCCTGGACTATCCAGTTTCAAGCAGCCCCACCGCACTGCGCCATCATTTGCCAGAAGGTCTTCTCGCTATGCGGCGTGATGATCTGCCACATTGTCATCCAAGATACCATCGGGATTGATGAAAGAAACGCAACAATGCCTGGACGATCGTGTTGGTAACGTCTACTACATGGGTCTCTTGCTAATGACAACAGCAGAATTTTAGACTGCCATTAACAAAAGGGATGACAATAATACGTGATTGCAGGGCCAGAAAAATCCGGAAGGACTGCATTTGCTCTGTAGCACTGTCAGAGCCCGAAAACCCTATATACAAGGCCCATCGGCAACAATAAACCGGCCACGATGAAAATAACGTTCGCCCGAAAATATCCACATGTTGTAATTGACTCGTACTACCTAGTCCTACCCTCACGCCGTGTATTATTGCGAGCCCCCCTCCTTTGACCAAAACAAGAAACAAGATCTGGTGGAACATTACACACAATCAAAAATTTGCGCAGATGATCTGGAATGCCATTGAGGATAAGGACCAACCAAAATGTCCCACGCCGTGTTGGCAAACTCCAAGTTGCAGCCATTTCCACCAAAATGGCAATCCCGAAAAGTAAGACCAAACCTGGGCAGGATCCGCAGCCGATATGTCTTCATGATACTTGCATTACAATCAACTGTCCCTGTCGATAAATAGGATTCCCGAAAAAGCAGCGGCGACAAACATTTCCTTGCGAAAGTATTGGACAAGATGATGACTGACTTTTTCCTGTGCTTTACGAAGATATGCAACCTCCCCTTCTTGCTAGCCAAGAGACACAGCAAATTGCACACCAGAAACAACCTTCTGGCAAACTGCTGGTTCCAGTTATCCTCACTTGTGAGCGGCTTACCTACCATCAGTCCCACCACTGAGAACACGGTACCTCCGCTGAGGAAAACACCACTGGCTGTGGCGGACTGCCCCATCGCCAGTGAAAAATCTAAGGACACAGGAACGAGCATCGCAACATTCATGAATATCAGGATCCAGGATATCACGATTACAACTTGAAGGGACGCACTGTTCCTTCGCTCGTGGTTTGCCAATAGCGGCTTGGCACCTGCAGCAACGTACGCCTCATGCGCTGCAAGGAAAACACAAAAACCGATGACTCCCAAAAGCACATGCCCATTGATGGGAACGATGAAGTCTGAGAAGGTGTCAATATTGATCGAATCAGTCAACGGCCCTGTTGCTCCCAGAGTGGCGGTGTTGAAATCTATGACAAAATCTTTTTGGAGCCAACCAGAGCCCCAGCCAACATCATCCTCAGAACATGTTTCGACCACGTCTGGCAACATTGTGAAGAAAGGTTCGGTGCTACTTTGCGCTTGTGGCAAATACGCTCATCTCAGCAAGCCAAATGCAGATCCGCAAGCACAAGCTGGCGATGCTAGCGAAATCCCGTAGAGCATAAACCCAGCCATAACATCTGGAATTTGACTGTTTCCGTCCAATAGTCCTTGACGGAAGGGGACTACCCCATCTCCTACCCAAGGCTTGAAATTTTCCGTACATGTGCAAACAATTTCCAAAGCTTAAGATCGTACGCCACGGCCATACAAATAATTTGCGTTCAAATGTTTCAAAGTTTCGACGTGCGCTCAGCAACACTAAGTCTTTATCGTGGCATTCCAAATGCACCGGCCAGTACTAAGGAAGGCAACGACGCACAGTTTCGGGAAACTTCATGTCATGGCACCGTCAACCAGGATGTTAAGTACATGGCATGTCACAGTGCCGTATTGGCAAAAGTTTGGGGAGCCTCGGGCTTGAAAATGGACAAAAAATGAAGTGAAACAATTTACTATGATAAGAACCTTCAGCAAAAAAGCCCCTCATTTTCGGAGCATCCCAAAACCTTTGTTGATGCTCGTATCGTTGTGCAGGTACTGGTTCCAAGACGCGTGGACACATGACAACAAAAACATCAAAGATGTTCGCCATATTGACGACATCACCAGTAAAGATTTTTGTAACAACGAACTGGCAAATGACAAACTTGTTTACTGTTAGACACGGAGCTGAAATGCCATTACATTGCATTTGTGCACTAAAAATGTGGGTCAAGAATCAAGTTGTGCAATAACACGTGACGCAGGAACCACAATGTGGACTTGTACCCGTAACGCCCAAATTCCCAAACACGTCCTTCAGGACAATAACCCAAAAGGAGGGAAGGGAAGTTTAGTGCACATAATGAAGGAACATGTACATGAACTGTGGTGCATTCACTCAAACGGAACATGTACATGGACTGTTGCTTGTTCACTCAAAATGCTTTGGATCACACACAGCCTACAACGAATCTGATTTATGCGTATCCAAATTCTTTAGGAACGATGGATCTTGCATGTGAGGATGTGCCGAGGGGATATTAGATATCAGTCTAGGTGTGGCCTTATTCACTTCCCCCCGCTACACTTGACCCCCTGGTACGTTATTATATACTGGAGGCTTATCCGTCTTCACATAAATTATACAATTTCATTGGGAATATTGTATAACTGATGCGAACAAGGCCATACTCCAAGGTTCAAATTCTCAATAAGCCCCGCCTTGTAAGTTAATGCTTATATCATTGTGGTATCTTATGTATAATTTAACGCCGTGGCTTATTCAGAATTTGTTGTAGTGAAGGTCGATATGCGCAGTTGCGTTCCCTGCTTGGTGTAGCTTGCTTGAACCTGACTTTCTGTAGCATTTGTTGCTTCCAGCTTTTTGTAGATTGTATCAAAATCTTTCAATTCCAAAGCGCCGAGTGGTTGTCATGGCTATCGTGGATCCTTTTCTCTGTGAGAATTTAATGTCAGAACCTTCGGTTCCTTTCAGTATGTGTTGACTTGCGGGTTCCTTTGAATGCAAAATAAGTGTTCTGTTGTTTCTCTAGCTTTTCTTCAACATATTGTAAGGACCTTGGCAAGACATCGCGTTTCGCATTGTGGACTGCGATTCCAATGAGTTTTATCGAGAACTCATCCTTGTCGTCAATTTGTTTGGGGGCTGTGGTTTGTTGGTTGTTTGGGGGTTCTTTTTCTCGTGGTTCGACCGCTTTCTCTTCTAATATTGTTATTTCCAATTGCTTCTGACTCATGAACCTTTTGTGTCACTCTAAGTTAGTAAGCGCGATAACGCTGAGATTGGCCTAGTTAGGACTTGACGGAAGACCGAGAGGCCCCTGTCGGCTGCATGTTTTACGCCTACCAGCCATTGGAATTGATGTATCAGCAAGCGTTTCCGGACAAAAAGATTTAGCTAAAAAATGGGAACTCCGTGGCGGTCAATGTTTCCCGCGCCGTAGCCCATTT